TATATATATAAGGCATTTTACACCCTTCCCACACCCTTGCAATATTATAAACAATGTTTCTAAACTCTAAACGCTCTAAAAGAGCACAGCATGTCATGATTTCAGCTCTCTGCCTCCGGCTGCACTCTCAGCCACGCCCAGTTCTCTGCTCTGCACGCTGATCAGCTGTAGGAAGAAGATTCTCCCACATGTAATTTGTCATGTAATTAGCTCTTTTAAAATTCTGTGGCAAATCATTTGCATATTTATTCAATAACTCGTACATTAACAGTCTATGTCCCACACTGGCACTCAGCCTGCTGAGAAGTTAGTTCTATTTCGTATAAGCTTCGCCCTTTAAGGCTGTCGCTGATGGGTTTATCCCGATATGCGAAGCATTGCACTGAAAAATTTAGTCCACGCCCACCTGCTGTGTGGGCCCCACCCGGTCCGTACAAATTACGTTAAGAGCGGGAAATCGGCTCCCTTTTTTTCTTCAGCAAGCTATTAGCACTGTTAGAAGAATGAAGAAGGAAAGTTGTGTAGATGACCAACCTTTGTTAAGAATGCTTGGCCCAGCACGTCGACCTCCGGTCGTCCGGTGAGCTCTCCTCCCCGAGGAGAAGCTGATGAGCAGTCTTGTTTCAAGGTAAGCACCGAGGAATATTTCTCAGTGACAGGTCGCTACACGCTGGACAACGCCATCTTGTAATTTTCCTCTTATCGCCGACCCTCAGAGCAAATCGGATGGTTCCTCCGGGACAGGCGGTGCTCAGCTGCAGCCCCCGCTGCTCATTCCCTCCTGGAGAGTGTAGCGTCGGTGGAGGGGGGTTGGGCGAATGCTCACCTCATCCCACCTCGTTTCGCATCGGCAATCACACCGCTCCCGGCCGACGGCGCCCTCTGGGGTTGCCCGGCGTAACCCAGGAGGCAGCTGGCATGAAGAGACCCTTTTTTACATCCCACGCCTTTCCCGCCAGTTCGGATGATCCGGCGGGAAGGTTGTTTTTACTAGGTTCCATTCCGGCTCATCGTCCTGATCCATCTGGCCTCGTTTTCCCAACAGGGCGTCCTACGGGCGAGGCCACAGCCGGTTTTCCTGGTAGATTGGGGGGGCCGGTCTCCACAGTCCGCACCCATCTCCAGAGCAGGGGTTCACCGAGCGGAAAGTCCCTCAGTGCCCCCTGGAGCCGAGCCTGACGGAGGCTTCATTGGAGCAAGATGTCCAGGTGGACCAGTGTCCCGTACCTCAGGTTAGCGTAACCCAGACGGCGACACCGCTCTCCAACTGAGCTCATCAGCATGTGTTCCAGACGGCCGCAGCGAACAACATGTTACGCTGTTGGCGTACACGTTCAGAGGCGGGAAGAGACGGTGGGCCCTCTGACCTTCGGCTCGCTCCGCTCTCGTAGCGGCTGTTCGCTAACGATGCTATTGGCCCCTGCAGTACGCTCCGTCCACAGGGCAGCTGACGTCATCCCCAACCGTGCGCCTCTTTTGCTGTCTGCCGCCCCGCATCGCAGCCGGAGAACGAGGTCCCAGAGGTTCTCCTGGCTCATCACTCCACCTTCTTCTCAGGAGAGCTGCAGAAGCTTCTGTTGGAGGGCCTTTTCATCAGTGAGAGATCATTTCAAGATGCTCCACGGCTGCACA